AAATTTTCTGAATTGAGATATTAAAATAATAAGCAGGTGCCTCCAAATGCATGAGTGAGACCTATGTAGAAAAGTCTTGGTGTCCTTTTCAGACAGGAAAGAATGCCTCTTTTCTCCCTCTTTTTAAAAAGTAATCTCAATTGGAAAATAAAACAAGGGCCGCATCCACACTGCCGAAATAATTTGGTTTGACACCACTTTAACCGCCAGGGCTCAGTGCTATGGAATTGTGGGAAATTCCATATCAGAATGGAGAAGAAAATGGGGCAGGGGGAAAATCTTTAAGAGGCCCACCTATGATTTGGCTCTGCTTCTTCTCTGCTTGACAATTGACTTCTCTCTTTCTCTCTGTCCTACCAGCTTGCACCGCTACAAGCATCCCTCTGAAGAGGAGCTCTTAGCCCTGGCAGGCAAACAGAAGCCAAAGGGCAAACGGGAACGGTGAGTCTGGTTGGCAGGAGGGCAGCCATCTTGGTTGTCTGATTGATAGGTGGGTGCAGCATTAGGTTCAAGGGGGATATGGACAAGCTGGAAGATGTCCAGAGAACGGCGGTCAAGATGGTCGCAGTTCAGGAAACCAAGGATATGAGGGTGCTGGGGAGGTTTAGCTTGAAGAAGAGAGGACTGAGGAGTGATATAGAATCATCAAATCCTAGAGCTTGAAGGGATCCCAAGGATCATCCAGCCCAAGCCCCTAGAAGTACAGAAATCCAGTTAGAATCATAGTTGGAAGGGACCACCAAAGGCCATCCATTCATTCCTCTTCTGCCATTCAGGAAGACTCAATCAAAGCACTTGGACAGATGTCCAGCCAGCGTCTGTTTAAGAACCTCCAAAGAAGGAGACTCCACCACTCTCCAGGCAGCATCTTCACCATCAAACAGCTCTTACTGTTGGGACATTCTTCCTAATGTTTGGGTGAAATCTCTTTTCCTATAGTATCCATCATCAACAGCCCTGCTCAGGTCTTGCAAACTCAGTTCAGCCATTGTGGCTTCCTGGATTGAGTCTATCCACCTCGAGTGTGGTTTTCCTCTTTTCCTAATGCCTGCCCCTTTACCAAGCATTATGGCCTTTTCTAATTGTATCCTGTCTTCTCATTTCCCGAGTCAAATTTAATAAGAGCCAGGAATGATCTTTTGTGGTGGCTGAACATTGCTTTATCTGTCTGGCAGGAGACTCAATGGAGTTACAGATGAGAAGCCTTCCTCAGTTCCCAGAGATATTGATTTGCAGCTGGAGAGCAGCCCCATCACAGCCGTGGATGCTTTGGGTAAATGCTTGGAGGTTGGACTTCCTAAGCTGTTTCTTCCCTATAAAGGGTGGGTGGACTGTGACTTTGTGTCTGTGAAGAGGGGTTTTGCCCCTTCTTCATTGTGACTTTCCCTGAAATTCCAGCTTTCACATTTTCAAAAAAAAAAGTAAGCTTCTAGTTCCTTTTACTTGGAGTCATAGAGTTCTTTGAGTTGTGGATTTCTGCATGGCAGGGAGTTGGACTAGCTGACCCTTAGGGTCCCTTCCAGCTTTAAGATTCTATGGAAGAGAGACCAAGGGCCATTCAGGTCAGGGTCATGGCTTCATTATTGAATCAATCCATTCATAATGCAGCCTTTCTCTTTTCCTTTTCATTTTACTGAATATTACTTGCCCCCTTGCAATAAATCATAAAATCATACAGTTGAAAGGAACCACAAGGGTCACCTAGTCTAACTCTTTGCCATGAAGGAATCCACAGCTAAAGCACTTCTGAGAGATGGCCATCAAACCTCAGTTTCAAGACCTCCAATGAAAGGGAACAAGAATAGTAATTTGGGGGGAATAAGGATATGTGAGATGCTGCCCAGTTTCTCCCCTAAAATCAAAGTTGACCCCTTGCCTTTTCTTTTAATAGGGTTCCCTTGTCACTTTTCATGGGGGATTTCATTTCCTTGCTAGATGGTTTGCATTTCGAATTAAGAGAGATAACCCCCTATTCCATGACCAGAAGCCAACTGGGTTGACAACCCAGGCAATTTCCGTAGCTTAAGGTGCCTTGTGAAACCCCGCTCTTTCCTCCCCCCCTGTGCTGCCACCCTTTAAGCATGTACCACCTGAGGCCACTGTTTTCCCCCTTGGTCCACTGGGAGGGCCAGCCCTATAGTTTCACCCTTGTGTTGGGTTGAGAAAGAATACGATTATGTGTTTTCCTTCCTATTCAGTCCTCTGCTATTTCCTGGAATACCAGTGGTACGTGGACTTTGCAGCCTACTCTGCTCTGGTCTACCTCTTCACCGAAGGTTACTACTGCCTGGTGGACCCCCGGAAAGAAGCCAACATTGGGATCCTCTGGTGCTTGCTCAGCGTTGTCTTCTCTGTGTATCCTCCTCAATCGGTGGCTTCGTTGAATGATTGATGATTAATGATGGATTATTTATTGCTTTCATTTGCATTCCATTTTAATTCCATTGAGATCATGGCAGCGTACATGGCTCTGTCACATTCTCACAACCACCCTGTGGGGTAGGCTGGGAAAGAGAGGGAAAAGGGACTGGACCAAAGTCACCAGTGGTTTTTATAGCTCAGGGATAAATAGAATCTGGAATTCTCCAGTCCCCATTCAACACTCTTAGCTGATGCACCAGGCAATGCCCCAGTCTCACTCCATCCAGAGAGTTTCATGGCTCAGTTGGGCCTAGAATGTGAGTTTTCCAAGTCCAAGTCCCCAATCAAATTACAGTGGGGCCTTGGTATCCGCTGGGTCTTGGTTCCAGGATCCAACATGGATACTAAAATCCGTGGATGCTTAAGTCCCATTATGCTTAAGTCAGCCCTCCACATTTGCAGCTTTGACTTGCAGCTTTGATTATTCATGGATTTTATGAATTCTCCCAGTGCAACTCTGTGGTCAACCTCTGCAAGAAGTTGTGCTGGAGGACCTAGAGATTTCCTAGAGAATTTCTCTTGGGTAAAAAATAATAATTGTTTTTTATTTACAGTTTTCCCACTTTCACTGTGCTCCTAACTGCAGCAAATGTGAGGGATCCCCATATTTTAAAGCAATACAGAGGAAAAACTATACAAAAACTTCAGTTAAAGGATAAATATAACAGTTATTTTAAAAAGCAAACAATTTGTAAAGATAAAGAATACCAAAAAGGCTATACTGGGCCCTTGGTATCTGTGGGGTTTTGGTTCCAGGACCCCAGTTGGCCTGGGCACCAAGCACACATTCTTCCTGGTTTGGCTGCAGCAATTCTGCTCTTTCCTTCAAAAGGCAGAAGTGGTGTCTGGCATGCTCCCAGCAGGAAGAATGTGCGCCTGGCACTTGGGGCATGCCATTTGGCTGGTGGAAGTCAGCCCCACCACAAAGCCTCGGAGGAACATGGAGCAGGTGATGCAGGAGGGGAAATGCAACACAGAATAGATAAATAGTTTTTTTTTTAAAATAGTGCAAGAATAACCTCTGAAGATACCAGCCACAGGTGCAGGCGAAATGTCAGGGATACATTCTTCCAGAACACAGCCACATAGCCTGAAAAACCCATTAAAAACTATCCTTTTAGCCTTTGACTTCACAGTGCAGGAGTAACTGGCTGCTCTAAATGAATCCAAGTCTCGGGGGCTAGATGAATTACATCTGAGGGTATTAAAAGAACCAGCAGAAGGAATCTCAGAACCCCTGGCAATAATTTTTGATGATTCCTGGCAAACAGGAGAGGTCCCAGCAGATGGAGGAGGGCAAATGTTGTCCCCCGTCTCCAAAAGTGGGAGGGAATGACTCAAACAATTACTGCCCGGTTAGCCTAGCATCAATACCAGGAAAGATTCTAGGTGTTGTTGTGTGGCTTCAAGTGGTTTTGGACTTGTGGCAACCCTCTTATGAGGTTTTCCTGTAAGGTTTGCCATTGCCTTCCCCTAAGGCTGAGAGCATATGACTTGCCCAAGGTCACCCAGTGGGTTTCATGGCCAAGCAGGGAATTGAATCCTGGTCTCCATAGTTGTAGTTCAGCACTCAAACCACTGCTGGGTTCCGAGCAATGATCTTCAAACTTTGGCCCTTCAAATATT